TTGTTAATTTTCTGTCTTGTTGATCTGTCTAATATTGACAGTGGAGTGTTAAATTCTCCCACTATTATTGTGTAGGAGTCTAAGTCTCTTGGTAGGTCATTAAGAACTTGCTTTATGTATCTGGGTACTCCTGTATTGGGTGCATGTATGTTTAGGATCATTAGCTCTTCTTGTTGCATTGATCCTTTTACCATTATGTAGTGCCCTTCTTTGTCTTGTTGTGATCTGTTTTTGTTTAAAGTCCATTTTATCAGATACTAGGATTGCAACTCCTGCTTCTTTTTGCTCTCCATTTGCTTGGTAAATGTCCCTCCATCCCTTTATTTTGAGCCTATGTGTGTCCTTGCATGTGAGATGGGTTTCCTGAAAACAGCACACCAATGGGTCTTGACTTTATATACAATTTGCCAGACTGTGTCTTTTGATTGGGGCATTTGGCCCATTTACATTTAAGGTTAATATTATGTGTGAGTTTGATCCTGCTATTTTGATGCTAGCTTGTTGTTTTGCCCATTAGTTGACGCAGTGTTTTCATTGTGTCAATGGTCTTTACCATTTGCTAAAGTTTTGCATGGCTGGTACTGGTTGTTCCTTTCCATGTTAGGTACTTCTTTCAGGAGCTCTTGTAAGGCAGGCCTGGTGGTGATAAAATCTCTCAGCAATGGCTTGTCTGTAGAGGATTTTATTTCTTCTTCACTTATGAAGCTTAGTTTGGCTGATTAGTAATTCTAGGTTGAAATTTCTTTTCTTTAAGAATGTTGAATATTGGCCTCCACTCTCTTCTGGCTTGTAGGGTCTGTGGAGAGATCTGCTGTGAGTCTGATGGGCTTCCCTTTGTGGGTCACCCGACCTTTCTCTCTGGCTGCCCTTAGCATTTTTTCCTTTACCTCAACCCTGGTGAATCTGATGATTATGTGCCTTGGGGTTGCTCTTCTTGAGGAATATCTTCATGGTGTTTTCTAAATTTCCTTGTTATTAGTCTATTGAATGTTGACCTGCCTTGCTAGGTTGGCGAAGTTCTCCTGGATGATATCCTGCAGAGTGTTTTCCAGCTTGGATTCATTCTCTCTGTCACATTCAGGTACACCTATCAAGGGGAGATTAGGTCTTTTCACATAATCCTACATTTCTTAGAGACTTTGTTACTTTCTTTTCACTCGTTTTTTCTTTAATTTTGCCTTCTCATTTTATTTCATTAAGCGGATCTTCAATCTCTGATATCCTTTCTTCTGCTTGGTTGATTTGGCTATTCAAACTTGTGTATGCTTCTTCTCTCATGCTGTATTTTTCAGCTCCATCAAGTCTTTTATATTCTTCTCTAAGCTCTTTATTCTAGTTAGCATTTTGTCAACCTTTTTTTCAAGGTTCTTAGTTTCTTTGCATTGGGTTAGAACGTGTTCTTTTAGCTCAGAGAAGTCTGTTACTACCCATCTTTTGAAGCCTGTTTCTGTGAATTCACCAGACTCATTCTCCATCCAGCTTTGTTTCCTTGCTGGTGAGTAGTTCTGATCCCTTGGAGGAGGAGAGGTGTTCTGGTTTTTGGTGTTTTCATCCTTTTTATGCTGGTTTCTTCCCATGTTTGTGGATTTATCTAACTGTGGTCTTTGTAGTTGATGACTTTCTGATGGGTTCTCTGATTGGACATCCTTTTTGTTGATGTTAAAGCTATTTCTGTTTTTTAGTTTTCCTTCCAACAGGCCCTTCTGCTGCAGGACTGCTGGAGGTCCACTCCAGACCCTGCTTGGCTGGGGAATCACCTGTGGGGCTGCAGAATAGTAAGGGTTGCTGCCAGTTTCTTCTTCTGTTATCTTCATTCCAGAAGGATACCCACTAGATGTCAGCTTGAACTCTCCTTTATGGGGTGTCTTTTTGGATATGCAATGGTTGGGAAGCTGTTTGAGGAGACAGTCTGTCCTTTGTAGGAGCTCAAGGGCCATGCTGTGAACTCCGTTGTTTTATTCAGAGCTGCTGGGCAGGTAGATTTCAGTCTGCTGCAGCAGAACTCATAACCACCTCTTTTCCCAGGTGCTCTGTCCTGGGAAGGTAGGGCTTTATTTATAAATTGCTGACAGTCTGCCAGCAGAGGTGTTGCTTAGCTGCCGTGGCTCTGCCCAGCTGCTGTGTAAACTTCCTTGCAGTTTTGTTTACAGAGGTACAGTTAGAACTGCCTCTATGATGGCGGTCTGCCTGAGTAATGTTGGACTGCCTCGGTAATGGTGGACTGCCTCGGTAATGGTGGACTGCCTCGGTAACGGTGGACTGCCTTGGTGATGACAGACTGCCTCGGTAGTGGTGGACTGCCCAGTAATGGCAGATGTCCTTCCCCACACTGAGCTGGACAGTCCTGTGTCCAGCTGTGCTTGCTGCCAAGTTCTTAATCCAGAGTGTTTCAGATGCTGGTCTTAGAGGGGGTGGGACCTGCTGAGCCAGATCACCTGGCTCCCTGTTTCAGCCTCTCTTTTTCAGTTGAATGGGTGGCTCTGTCTCCCAGGCATTCCAGGTACCAGTTGAAATGGCCGCCCAGATTTGTTTGAGTTTTTGTGCAAAAACTGGCAGCACTGGCTGAAACAGCTGTGCTGGAAACTCATGCTTTGTGGCCCAGGAATCTCCTGGTCTGTGGGCAGTGAAAACTCATTTGGAAATGCAGTGATCACTCACCCTCTGTGTTGTTCTCCCTGGGAATTGTACTCCAGAGCTGTTCTTGTTCAGCCATCTTCGATCTCCTGTCTCATCTCTATTTTCATTTAGTCTTCCTTTTCTAACCCAATTCTTAAGTTTTTCTTACTTGAACATATATTTTTATATATTAAACTGTAAATTTCATTCTAATTTTAAGGTTTTCTATGCACCAAATAAAACAAAAACCATACATTATTAAAATGTATTAAATATTAGCTCTCCTTTGGTGCATTAGAGCCACCCTTAACAACTTAGCTCCTCCAGTCACACTTCCCTGCACTTGTGTTGGGGCTCAGAACACAATACCCCAATATTTGATACCTTGGCATACTAAATATTTTAAGCTGAAATTGAGAGGGTGACAGAAGCAAAAAGGCCACTGTCTGACCTTATCTTTCTCTATCTCTGATCTTTTACCTCCAGTGAAGCACAGTTATAGAAGAATTCTCTGACCTACCTTGCTTGAAAGTAGGTTGTAAGACCTTCCATTCCAGAGGGACCCAGCCCTATACCTGGAAGCCATGAAGAATCTGGACAAATAGGCCTTGCTAAATTCCTCCCAGTTTAGTCCTATCAGATTATACCCTTGTGTCCTCCCATCACACTTCTGCAGGACCACCTATAAAAATACAGTTTTCTCTGGGCCTGTAGGACTTCATTTCTGAAGGTTCCAGTGTCACATAATATTTTAGTTAAATATAATTAAATGCTTTCCTCCTGTTAATTTGTCTTTTATTATAGGGGTCTTAGCCGGGAATATTGCAATGAGTGAGGAAAAGTATTACAATTGACCCTTGAACAATGGAGAGATTAAGGGCACAGACTTCTTCTGCGCAGTCAAAAGTTCACACATGACTTTGACTCTCCAAAAACTTAGTTACTAGTACCCCATTGTTGTCTGGAAGCTGTATCAATAACATCAACAGCCAACCAACACACATTTTATCTGTTCTATGTATTGGATCCTATATTCTTATAATAAAGTAAGCAAGATAAAAGATGCTACTAAGAAAATCATAATGAAGAGGGAATATTTAATATTCATTAAGTGGATCATAATGAGGGTCTTCATCCTCATTGTCTTCATATTGAGTAACTGAGGAAGAGGAGGTGTTGGTCTTGCTGTCCCAGGAGTGGCAGAGGTGGAAGAAAATCCACATATACATGGACTCACTAGGTTCAAACCTATGTTGTTAAAGGATCAGTGTACACAGGTTCTGGAAGTAGGATGTTGAAGTATTTGGGTGGCCATTATTCTAAATATCAAACACTTGAAGCAATAAAACAATTATCAACAGAAAAATACATAAAGCAATAGCTTCAGAGACACTGAACATAAGGCAGTGGATGACAGTGATCTCTGAGATATAAAAAAGAGGAAACAGTGATTTTTTCCAGTATTGACAGTTTCCAGGCCACAGAACAAGCAGGGAAATCCCAGGCAAAGCCTGAGTTGAGGAGTGGAGAGTCCTGGGAGATCAAAGTTGCTAGCATACAGGAAAAATACCAGAGAAGAGAGGTACATAGGTAACTCCAGAGATATTTAGACGTCTCCATAGGGTGCCAAACAGTGCATGTATGTGAGGACACTACCCAAGCCTTAGGAAAAAGCCATCAGAAAGGATTAGGAGTAATAGTGCCTGGCTTTCACATAGGGTCAAGAGGTGTGCCCTTTTTCAGGAGACTGGCAGGAAAATGAACATTTAGGTACAATACCTGTAAGTTTCTCAGCTCACTAACACTAGGCTGAGTACTGCTCAGTCACATCTAGCAAATCTTAAAAGCATAACCCAAACTTACCATTTTCCAGTTAACTGCAACCAAAAACAAAACTCAAGAATATAGAAGGACAAACATCTGCTACTTACAAGCTGACATTCACATTATCTGGCTTTCATTAACAAATGACCCAGGCATACAGAATAGCAGGAAGATATAAACATAAAGAGAAAGAAAACAGTCAATTAAAAAGAACTCAATGAGACAAGGTAAGACAAAAATACAGTGATAATTTAGCACTGTTGACTACCTAAAATAGAATTATTACAGATAAATAGAGTAAGTCTTAGTGTTCTGTACCATTGTAAGATAACTATAGTTAATATAGTTACAAATTGCTGGAAGGAGGACATTGAATGTTTCCAGTACAAAGAAACAATTATTGAAGTGATGGATGGATATGCTAATTACCTTGATCTGATCAGTATACCTTATATGTATGGAAACATCACTATGTACCCCCATGAATATGTATAATTACTTGTCAATTAAAAAAGACAAAACACAGCCGGGCGCAGTGGCTCAGGCCTGTAATCCCAGCACTTTGGGAGGCCGAGGCAGGCAGATCACTAGGTCAAGATATAGAGACAATCCTGGCCAACATGGTGAAATCCCCTCTCTACTAAAAAATACAAAAATTAGCTGGGTGTAGTGGTGTGCACCTGTAGTCCCAGCTACTAGGGAGGCCGAGGCGGGAGAATTGCTTGAACCCAGGCGGCAGAGATTGCAGTGAGCCGAGATTGCGCCACTGTACTCCAGCCTGGCGCTTGGCGTCAGAGCAAGATTCTGTCTCAAAAAAAAAAAAAAAAAAGACAGAACACAGAATAATTAGCTAAGTTAACAGAGAAGCATAATATATATGTTATTGGAATCCTCAAAGGTGAGAGTATGTGTGCAGAAAACATATTTAAGCAAATAGTGACTGATGCCTTTCTGAATTTAATAAATGCAAAAATAGAAGAACCTCAGTGAAGTCCAAGCACAAGAAACATGAAGAAAATACACCAAGACATATAATAATCAGTTTCCCTAAAAGTAGTAATAAGGATAAATCTTAAAAGCAAACAGAAAAAAATGACACATTATATACAGAAAAACAAATTTAAAAATATGGCAGTTTTTGGTGGGTGTCAGGAACAATGCAAGTGAGAAGAGAGTTTAACAACATCTCAGAATATTGAAATAAAATAGTTACCAACCTAGAATGTTATCTCCATTGAAAATATCTCACAGAAATGAAGGTTAAGTGAAGACTTTCTCAGATATATGAAAGCTGAAACAATTCCTCACTGCCAGAGTCCCACCCTGAGACCCATTAAAGAAAATCCTTCAAGAAGAAGGAAAATAACAGCAAAATTGAGATACAAATCTATGCAAAGGAATCAAGCCACAGAAAATGGCAGTTATGTGAATAGATACATGTGTTAGTATTCTAGGACTGCTGTAACAAAGTACTTCAATCCGGATGTCCTAAAACCACAGAAATGTATTGTTTCACAGTTCTGGGTCTAAACCTTCAAAACGGAGGTGTTGAGAGAGCAATATTTTCTTTTTCTTTCATTTTTTTTTTTGTTTTGTTTTGAGACAGAGTTTTGCTCTTGTTTACCCAGGCTGGAGTGCAATGGCGTGATCTCACTGCAATCTCCGCCTCCTAGGTTCAAGCAATTCTCCTGCCTCAGCCTCCCGAGTAGCTGGGATTACAGGCATGCGCCACCATGCCCAGCTAATTTTTTGTATTTTTAGTAGAGATGGTGTTTCACCACATTGACCAGGATGGTCTCAATCTCTTGACCTCGTGATCCACACGCCTCGGCCTCCCAAAGTGCTGGGATTACAGACATGAGCCACTGCGCCGGGCCCGAGAGGGCAATATTTTCTATGAAACATTTAGGGAAGAATTCTGCCTTGCTTCTTTGTAGCTTCTGGTATTTGCTGGCCATTCTTACCTTCTTCAGCTTGCAGATGCATCACTACAATTGAGGCAGGAGGCGACACACAACTCCAGAGGTGGGGCTTGGACAGGGGACCAAACTGAGGACTACCTAAAACAGGGATGTGGTGGAAACAGCTTTTCATAAAACATGCTTACCAGTGTGTGTGCCATGTCAGTTTACCATTGCCATGGCAAAACCTGGGAGTTACTGCCCCTTTCCATGGCAATGACCCAACAACTCCAAAGTTACTACCCTTTTTTTTTCATTTGTGTATGAACTGCCACTTAATCTGCGTGCAATTAAAAGCAGGTATAAATATGACAACAGAAATGCCCTGAGTTGCTACTCTCTGCCAAGGAGGTTGTCCTACTCTGCAGGAGTAGTCATGGAAGCTGATTCCTTCCACCACTGGCTTGCCCTTGAATTCTTTCCAGGGTGAAGCAAAGTACCTTCCCAGGCTAATCTCCAGGTAGCTAAGCTCCAATGTGGAGCTCACCAGCCTTGCATCGCAGCGTGTACCTCTGTCTTTATATGACCTTCTCTCTTGGGTATCTGTGTTTCTGCATCTCTATATCTGTGTGCCTCTTTTCCTTTAAAAACTCAGTCACATTTGATTGGAGATCTGCCCTGCTTTAGGATGGTAACAATTAACATAACATCTGTAATGATTCTATTTCCCTTGCAGTTAGGACTTCAATATGTCATTTGGGGGAACACAATTCAACCCATAAAAAGACATATGGATTTTTTTCTTACTCAAATTTCTTTAAAAGATAAATGACTAAAATAATGCAGTGTGGATTTATTTTACTTCATAACTCCAGGCGTTCTGTTCAATAGGTATAATTGTTTCTATGTTAACGTTATTTCAGTTTAAAAGTATATATTCATGGGTGCTTTTTTTCTGTTATTTAAATTTAGTTGAGCTCTCAAGAAAATCTAGCCAGTGCCTACCTGATGTGAACTGTTGAATATTGTACGTATATTAAAGTCACAGCATTAAAAATAAGTTGGTAACTCAAAAATATGTGGCTAAACAGAATGCAGTATTAAACTAAATGGAGAACCTCAGGAATGTAACAGATTCCATAGACAAGAAAATGCTTCTGGCTCAGTGGTTTGCTTCAGTCTTTGGGAGAGAATCCCCGTAATACATACACCAGTAGTGAATGAGAAATCTCACAGACTTCTAGGAAAAAAAAATTTGAAATCAGACCTTAAAATATCAAATGCATATTTTTCTTCCAACAGTCTCTGCCCCTACAGATTTTATCTCATAGAGACTATGTTTTATTAATTAGAGCAGGAGAAAAGAGGGTGAAGAGGGTATTTTCTTACTTTATCATTTGGAAATTGTAAAACTTTGCAATCATTGCCTCTCAACTTCATTGCCTAATTGCATTCTGCTACATGCATTAGCACTACTACCCTTGCATTGCCTGGCGCTCCCATTCCTAAGTGAAAACACCCACATGTACACACACACACCCCACACATATATATCACGGAACTTTTGGTTTAACCACCCAGCCATGGTTTCCACAGTCATAAACCATTTAAGTCAAAAGCAATCACCATTACCCTAGACACCACTGTCGTAAGAGCAGGGAACTGCTTGACCTGGGTCAAAATGTGCCTCTTCCATGCTCCATGGACACTTGGAAAAAGATTTCTATTACTTATTCCTGGCACCTGGAAATACTATTTTTTATGGAGAACTAGGGGGAATTTTAACTTGTTAAAATCTCAGAAGGGAGATCTCAACATCTCAAAAGAAAGCTCCCACTCTCATGATCACAGAACCGTTTAGGTCAAAGTGACTTAAGAGATTCTATAGAACAAAACTGGCTTAGAAGGACTGATTCCACAAAAATTAATAATAATAAAAGACAAAGCAAGGATAAATTCAGAATGGAAATAATTAGGCATTGATAACACTTCTGAAATTATTTTTGAAACAGCAGTAGCTCTTTGGAATACTTGTCACAACTTAAGCCTTTAGAACAATTAAAATCCATCTACATCAGTTGGTGAATTAAATGTGCAACAAACAGTAATGAGATGGAGCAAAGGAAAATGGAAATTTTGTCAGAGGTAATTTGAAGATCCTCAAGATTTTATAGACCACCTTAATAGACATAGCTATCCAAATGTGTATTTTTGTTTGCATTTTAAATGTAGTGAGTCATTTAAGCTGCCATTCAGCTTGCCCAGCATACAAAACATCACAGGGTATTTCAAGCTCAGTTTAGTTTTCCAGGATATCATGAGCTTTTTGAAGATCTTCTTGTGCTCTATGAACATGAAGCTCAGCATTATTTAAGTAAAACACCAGAATAATCTGCACAACCAAGTGAAACAGTTCTTTGGGATGTTCATGAAGATTCAAATTCTACTCATTAGGAAAAAGACTCATCCAGTAATGAGAAACAAATTATTTGTCTGCCAGTTTCTACTAGCCAATCAAGGAAAGATTCTACAGAACCAAAGACATGTATAGAAAGGATCGAAAGGAAGACTGTTTAGTTCAGAATGGAAATGAATGTTCTGATAACACTGTTTCAAATATAAACTTGATAGACCAAAAGATGCCTGACATAGAGCCAAATTCTGAAAATAATTGTAGTAGTAGTGATTTAGTCAACGGGCACAGTGAAATAGAGCAAACACCTTTAATTTCATCAGATCCTGCTTTGAAAATTGATAGAATCAGGACAGAATATGGTTCCATTGTACCTGGTGTTGTACCACAAGAGAACAATACCTTGCCAGTATCTCAGGCACCTTCCAAACCAAATCTGACAAGTGAACATACTTCGTCTGGCTTAATTTTAACCAAATCATTTACCTTAATCAGTGGTATTTTACTGACTGGTAGAGTAGATGCCTCTTCCGATCAAGTTAATGTGTGTTTAAAAAAAACAATGAAAAGATTAAGATGTGGCAAATGCCCAACCACCTGCTGTAAGGCCGAAGCCCTTGAGGCTCATCTTGCACAAAAGAAATGTCACACACTCTTTGGATTTCATTCAGATAACAAAAGTGCCTGATAAAAATGTTTCAGAAAGATCTGTAAAGCAGTAGTGTGAAAAAAGCACTATACAAAAATGCATCATCAGTTTGCTATTTCCCTGATGGCTGTAATTTTCTAGAATGAACTCACAGAGATGTGCTGACTTACACTCCAAAAGGGTTATTATAAAACTCCCAAAGTACCAGTTTTCCAGAAAACCACATTTTAAAAAACTTGATGATGATTAATAGCAGCAGTGTGTTCAGTTTTACTTATATGAGAAATACGTTAAGCAGCTAGTCAGAAAACCAGCCATGGCCTTACAGAAAGGGAAAAGTTAACCCACTATTAAAAAGTGTGTTGGGGGAGGAGGGCTGGTTTAAAATTCTAAACAATTTAAAGTATTTTGTTTTACAAATGGGGTTTGTTTTCTTGTCACACACAAATAGATTATGTCTCCTCCCTTCTGGTCAAACGATTTAAGGAACCGATGCTGTTTGGTTTGTGATAGGATTTAGAAACTTACTGGTTAACTTAGCACAGTGCTATCAACTGAAGATTTTAACTGGTTTCCGGATGATTGATTACATCAAAGTTCAGTGAATGGCATGCCAGCCTTGAAAATTAAAAAACAAAACAAAACAAAATAGTACTTTGCTAATCAGCTTTTGATGGAACCTCCCACTAACCACTTTTGTGGCTCAAACTAGTTACATTTAAAGGGCACAATGTCAATAAAAAAGAAACAAATACCATCAGTAACTGGGAGAGATGAAAGGAATCTAAGACCTTTATAGGCCTTGTAGATGAAGGAAAACACTGAATTGCAAATTCTTCAATGTGAATAGTGGTAAAAGCACAATGGGATATTTCTGTTTGTATATATGTCAGGACAGTGCTTGGTGATTCATAGTAAGATCCTTTAGACATTAATTTGAGTTATGTAAGTACAATCCTATTAAAATAACTGGCTCAAAAAATCAGCTGAGAATCAGATTGCAAATTCATTCATTTTCTATTAGGAGAGGTAATTCCAAATAAGCCATATTACTCCTGTTTTTTAAGTCATTAGTGATGGATGTGGTCTGAATGGCAATTTTTATATGTAAAAGGAAGTATTTACACAAAAATTTGCACAACAGGAACACAATAAGAGATACATCTGGGCCTTGTTTTCCTTGGTGATAAGTTATTTTTCTAAAGAAGATTTTAACTTAATTATTTTTTAAAAAGTAAATATTTAAAAAGAATATTCTCTCACATGTTTTCCACTTGTCCATTAATGAAAGGAAGATGCTTAAAGACTTCCTTTTACCTAATAGTGTGTAAATCTAAAACAGGGATAAAAAGAACAAAAAGGTAAACTGTTTCAAAACAGACCTCCTGATGTCCTGTCAAATGTTCCAGTTATTCTAAATAAGAAAATCTTTGTTCAAGGCAGATAATCTCATCAGACCCTGTATTAGAGCTTCTTTCATGAGACTACTGTGAAAGTGAGAAATTTCTTCCAGGCAGCAATATTTTATTGGAATTTCCATGTCATGATTGATCAGATTTTTCTTTATTTCCCCATTTTATTAGTTTATTTGTAATCAGCATTCACAACTATGCAATGATGGTCATTAAGTGCATTCCAAATCTAATTTTGTTTCTGTTATGAACTTACATTAGTAAGCTCATATGTTATGAATTTACATATATGTAAATTCTTATATGTAAATTTATGAATTTATGGAATTCATATATGAATTGTGGCTGTGGAATTTACACTTAGGTAACTAAACACAATTCATAATCAAGTTTTAAAATAATTTCTTTAAGGTCAGCTGAAAACATTTTCTATATTTCTTGATACTAAAACTGTAATGTTTTTTATTTCAGTTCATTCTAAATATATGTCTTGTAATAATGTGTCTGTTTGGGAAAAAAAAAATCCATCTACATCAGTTGGCAAGCAAACCTATTAACTGACGTTAATTCTATAACTGACCCTAAATTGAATGGTTTGCTATGATAAGAAAAACAAAGTAATAAAGCTAAATGCATGGCTTTATAAGCTGAATACTTGGAGACCACAGAGATGTTAGGAGGAAATCACAGGGGTTGGTAAAGAAGCCAGGGTATAATATGACTGGGTGAGGCTTTCATTAAAGGCTTAGTGCTGGGACCCTTACTGTGAGGAAGATCATTGAAACAAGTTCCCATATTGACCTCATATTCAGAATTAACTACTGGCTCAAACTTCTGATAGGCCAAATGCCCAAATTAAGCTCTGACTTCTTGTGAATATCCTGGATATGCTAATCCTGAAATTTCATCTCGGCTCTATCAATGTTGTTACAACAAGTTAGTTTTATATTCTTGCATAGTAAAAGCACCCAAATCAATCACCCACATAGGTATCAGCAATTCCACTCTTAGAAATCAAGAATTCCCTAGTCTTTGTAAATTTCTTTTTTTTTTTTTTTTTTTTTTTAAGACGGTCTTACTCTGTTGCCAGACTGGAGTGCAGTGGTGCGATTTCGGCTCACTGCAACCTCTGCCTCCTAGTTTCCAGCGAATCTTCTGCCTCAGTTTCCTGAGTAGCAGGGATTATAGGTGGCTAACTTGTATTTTTAGGAGAGACAGGGTTTCACCATATTGGCCCAATGGTTTTGATGTCTTGACCTCGTGATCCACCCACCTGGTCTTCCTGAAGTGCTAGGAGTACAGGCGTGAGCCACCGTGCCTAGCCTGTATCTTAAATTTTTTAATGACGCACACATTTTGTCCTTCACCCTACAAATATTTTTGGGTTTTATTCTGATCAACATGCAATATACAGAATACTTTCTCTCCATTATCTTATTAGGGTAGAAGTACCTTTGCAGCTTTGGACATCATTTAGTAGATGTGAAATGGAATACAGAAAGGAAGGAGAACAAAATTTCTCGGTGCTTGTTGCCTTAACTAGGTCCTCCCCTCAGCTCATTGTCCCTCTGTCAACTTGCAAGAGACTCTGACTTGGTTTGTTTCATTGTGTTTATGTAGTTAGATTATGAGACTGATCATTTAGTGTCCATCAGACTATATATTATTAAATCTTCTTTCAAGTTGCCCCAATATCCTTTGTGGCCAGAGGAAGAGAAAAACATTCAATTAATAAATCCAGTTTCTCTTGGAAAAAAAAGGCTTATAGTTCTGATAAAGAGTCATTGCAATACCTGTTTCACCAATTAAAAAATATGTTTGTGTTTGTATAACACCTCTGGGAACCTAATGCAATAATAACACCTTCTTTTCCATTTGTTCCTAATCTAGATACTATATTTTTTATGCATCCCATCTGCTGTTAAGTATTTTACATTTATAAATTTATGCTCTATTTTTTATTCTGTCCCATCTTGCCCTGCTAGGAAATTTTTATTTTATGTTTTTCATATCAAAGCTTCCAAGCTACTTGCATTACAAGGCCACATGGAATGTTCTTTATTCTCTCAAATTCTCAAAGGGATGTGGATGGTATTGTTTTTAGTTATTCTGTATGTATATCAGTTAATCTTCCATTATGTTTCTTTCAGAAGAGGATTATAAACAAGATGGCTTCATTTAATTTTTAAAAATCTAACCCAAAAGTTTCATAAAGAATTTAAAGTAAAGCTAAATTTTAAAAATTCATATTTACTCCTTATGGCAGAAAAAAATAGCCATTATCTTCCAAAGTAAAGTCACAAGTCAACTCTGAGTTCAAACATGCACATAATCTTGGGCATGGACAGCTATTGTTATTGACAGCTCCTGAGACAAGCATCGTTTGTTAAGCCTCTTTTGATATAGGACTGTCATTCCAGCACAAGTGTCTTGATCATAGAAAACCTTTACCCTGGAAGATCAGACCACATGCCCAAAGGGTTCCTCAGAGACTGTAAGGAACTTTTCATACCAAATCATTTTTTGGACTTCCTAAAAGGCTGTGTGAGGTCACTTTAGGATATTCTCCTTCACTGAACTCATAGAAGCTAGAAGATTACACACAAGAGCAAAAAGGTGAGATGACAGAAATAATGAAATATATTAGTATGCTTCCAGTTTTCCAGTGTGGCTTAATAGTATTGTCAACCAGCAATTGGGAAGCCCATAATATAGGCAATCTTTCAATGAAAAAAAGGCAGATCAGTTTTTGCTGTGATTGCATTTTGATACACACCTTGATTTTATCCAGAAGACATGACTGAACTTTGACTACATACCTCAGTCAGAATCTGCTGGGATGCTGGAATGACATGGTTTGTTAGTCTGTTTTCATGATGCTGATAAAGACATAACTGAGGCTGGGAAGAGAAAGAGGCTGAATGGACTTACAATTCCACATGGCTTGGGAGGCCTCATAATCATGGTGGAAGGCAAGAAGGAACAAGTCACACCTTACATGGATAGAAGCAGGCAAAGATAGAGCTTCTGTAGGGAAACTCCCATTTTTAAAACAATCAGATCTCATAAGACTTATTCACTGTAATGAGAACAGCATGAGAAAGACCCTCGCCCATGATTCATTTACCTCCCACCAGGTTTTCCCACAACACATGGGAATTGTGGGAGTTATAATTCAATATAAGATTTGGGTGGGGACACAGCCAAACCATATTATTCCATCAGCTGCCTCTCCCAAATCTCATGTCCCCACATTTAAAAACCAGTCACACCTTATCAACAGTCTTTCAAAGTCTTAACTCATTGCAGCATTAACTGAAAAGTCCACAGTCCCAAGTCTTATCTGAGACAAGTCCCTTCCACCTATGAGCCTGTAAAATCAAAAGCAAGTTAGTTACTTCCTAGATAAAATGGGGGTACAGGCACTGGATAAATACACCCATCCCAAATAATAGAAATAAACCTAACCAAAGGGGTTACAGGCCCCATACAAGTCCAAAATCCAGAAGGGCAGTCAAATCTTAAAGTTCCAAAATGGCTTCCTTTGACTGTACGTCTCACATCCAAGTCATGCTGATGTAAAAGGTGGATTCTCATGTTCTTGGGCATGGGAACTGTGGCTTTGAAGGATAGTCTTCCTACAGCTGCCTTCACAGGCTGGCATTGTTTGTGGGCTTTCCAGGCACAGGGCACAAGCAGTTGGTGGATCTACAATTCTGGAGTCCAGAGGATGGTGGCTCTCTTCTCACAACTCTGCTAAGTGGTGCCACAGTAGGGACACTGTGTGGAGGCTCTGATCCCACATTTCCCTTCCTCACTGCCCTAACAGAGGTTCGCTGTCAGGGTCCAACCTACAGAACCTGACCCAGTGACAAACAAATGCACTCAAACACAGAATACAGTGAAAGAGTAGGCTACGGGTCTATGACCACAGACACTGCAGAGAGATTAACAGCCTTCGCCCTGACTGGCTGGCCCTGTGGGATTTGATTTTGTATAGATAAAAGGATGGGGTCTTTGGATAAATACCATTAGAGGGTAATTAACTTCTGTCCCCTGAGTAGAAGACAGTTATGCATGCATGGATTATCACACGTTTGCTAATGGAGGTAGGGGTAAACAGACTTACCTGGGGAAGCCTCTTTACAATTCCTAGTATGTCCTAATGCCCTAGAGTAAGAACCAGCAGCCTTCAGCCCATTCTGTCATTTGAAGCTATGCAAACTGCCTGGCCTTCCAAAGGGGTTCTGTTACTATTTCCCATAACTTTCTCTAATATAATTCCTTTAATAGTTTTGCCACCACCCTCACTGAACTCCCACACCTCCCATTTTTCTGTTTTTGTTTTTTTATTAAATCTGGCTTTAGTCATTGAAGAGTGCCAACGTGTACAGCAACGGGTCCATCAGTCGAGGTGGTTATTGCTCTTATTGTGGCTTTGCATTCTAGAATCAGCAAATAACATAAGGCAAACATGAGTATAATTAGCAACATTATTTTCCAATCTAGGAGCAATCTGTAGTGGTACTTGGCATCTCAGTTCACTGTATGCCATGAATGAGGAACCTTACTGAGTATATGTTAATTTATTTTAGCCAAGCAGTTGCACTCTTAGAAGCTGGAAAGGGGGTGGTCGTCCAAGTAACAGGGCAGAAAAAAAGGCAGATATGGAAGTTGGGCTCAATAGAGTGTGGCAGACGCAGGTTGCATGCAAATTGAGAGAATAAAAAAAATTATGTGGCGTGAATGGTGTCTGTGTCTGGAGCAGGATTCATTCCTCCTCAAGTTTTCTTCTTTAGCATTGCCCAGGTGATGTCTGGGCCAGTTTTTTCCACAGAAACCACATTGTCCAGTGCTATGGGTCCTGTAGGTTCTTTCCTAGGCTGGCTAAACTTTTTTCTTCTTTCCATCCTCTGACGAGGACATAGTCTTGAGGCTGGTGCTGGTGTACTAGAAACTAAGGGTGGTGTCTGTGCTAAGAGACCTTTTATAATCTTTGTTAAAGAGCAGGTTAGTGCTTTAAGAAAAACCTGTTGTGCTTTATTTTAATGTCTAGTTTACATAAAAACTGGATGATACTTCTTTAAATTTAGTCAATATGTTTACACACAGAATTTCTTTTACAACTAACGTTTTAAAACTTGCTTAAACCTTCAAAACAAAAAATATATAACATTTCCTGCATAAATTCCTTTTTATAACATTTTTATG